TGCAAAGCAGTATGGGAAGAAGTATAGAGAATCAACCAACCCCAATAAACACAGAGGATGAGAGAAAGTTAGGAGTTGAAGGTTGGTGTGTAAAAACTTGTGTTGATTGGTTTGACAGGTTCAAGCTGTGTATAACGCAATGAGGAGGGACGAAAGAATGAAATACTTCTTGTAGGCTTGAGGTGGGTAGAATCACTGGTGTTCGCCCTCTTCTCTCTTGTCCATGGCAACTATGTAAATTATGCAGTGTAAGACCATCATTTATTATATTTTTGCTTATCTACACCACCTAAGTCTTCCTTCTTTTGTTAGACTGTCCTACTCCTATGCATCTCGGGGAAATTCATCAATTATAATACAAATGACTAATACGCAGCAGATCAAATAGTTGGGTAAAGCTTATAAAAAAATTATGATCTTTTTTAGGTGGGAGAAGTCATTTTATCTCTTTGAAATAGGGTTGGAGTTGGTTCTACGATTAATGCCCAGAAAGTTGTGGCTTCTTTCACAAGAGAGGGCCCAGAGTTGAGAAAAAGAAAAGCCGAATGACCGATAAACTCTTGGACTAAATAATATTCTTGTTTTGATACGGAAACAATTGAAATATCAAATATATTATGCTCTGTTGTCGATGAGTGGTTGCATTCTAAAGCAGAGAAGCAGAACGGGGTCATACCTCTTATAGCTACCATTACTCACTCTATGCAGGACTCAATGTGTCAACCGGGCTTGATCCAGCCAGGTTGGTTGGTCATTCCGGTTCTTAGATGACAAAGGGTAAAAATCCTAAGAGTGTGTAAAAAACTACATAAATCAAAAGTTGTTTGAATCTGAGTCTTTGTAAGTGTGACTATGTTTCACAAGAGCTTCTTAGTGTATTAGTGGTATTAATTAAAATAGGAAAATGGAAATTATTGGGTATGGAGAAAAAGTGGAAGGTGAGGGGTTTATACTTTATACCGATTGTTTAATCTTGAAATTAGGTTAAGTGGCACTGTTGGCCAACTAAAAGCAACCCCAAGTATACTCCATAATGACACTCGTAATCTCTCTCTATCCCTTTATTGGGTGACGAATTACAAAATTCTTCAAGAATTAATGATTCTAACTTGCTTACAAAGCCATAACCCACACACACACACTCAGAAGATTGCAATATAAACCCTACAAAAATCCCCACTTTTCAATCATTTGAGACACTCACACACG